TATGAAGTAACAGGGTTCCTTCTTGGAATTTTGTGAGGATGAAATGATCCCTTAGGACACTTAGCATAGAGGCTATCCTTCAATAAATGTTTAATAAATGTCAGTTTAAAATATATGCCTTGGCCGGGCTCGGTGGCTCAGCCTGTAATCCCAGAGCTTTGGGAGGCTGAGACGAGTGGATTGCCTGAGCCCTCAGGTTCAAGACAGCCCGGGCAACTTGGCGAGACCTCATCTCTACAATAAATTAAAAATCAGGCAGGTGTGGTAGTGCATGCCTGTAGTTCCAGCTACTTGGAAGGCTGAGGCAGAAAGATCGCCGGAGCCCAACGGGTCGAAGTTGCAGTGGCCAGGAGCATGCCACTGCACGCCAGTCTGGGTGACAGAGTGAGACTCCCACTCAAGAAATAAAATAAAATAAAATAAAATAAAATAAAATAAAATAAAATAAAATAAAAGCCTTGCCTGGTACAGTGATTCATGCCTGTAATCCCAGCACTATGGGAAGCGGAGGCAAGAGGATTGCCTGACCCCAGGGGTTCAAGACCAGTCTTTGTACACTTTTTCTTCTTTTTAAAAAATTTCTTACTGATCTTTAATTTTTTATTATTATATATTCCTGTAACTTTCATTTAAGTGTTTTGGGAATAAAGAATAAGTAAGGACTTAGTTTGGAAGGGAGAAAATAAGGCTGTACTTGCTGGATTAAAATATATGCCTTAACAAATTATTTCAGATTCAAAGAAAGAGATAGGCAACTCAGTTTCCTATGACAATTTGGCAAGACCTCACCTCTACAATAAATCAAAAAATTAGCCAGGCATGGTGGTGCATGCCTGTAGTTCCAACTACTTAGAAGGCTGAGGTGCAAGGAGCTCCTGAGCCCGAAGGTCTATGTTGCAGTAACCATGAGTGCCACTGTACTTCAGTCTGGGTGACAGAGTGAAACTCCGACTCAAAAAATAAATAGATAATAAAATAAAATATATGCCTTAACAAGTTATTTTAGATTCAAAGAAAGAGACAGGAAACCCAGTTTCCTATGGAAGGACCTGGGGTCTGAGTCCTTGGGTAACCCTTCCCCTTTCTGGGCCTCTGTTCTTTCATCCATAAAATGAGGCAATTTTGATCAAGTGGTCAGGTTCTGTCTACATAACAGCCAAGGTAAATTGTGTAATTGACCATAAAGTTTCTCTTTTCTATTAACCACTATAAGTGTGTAGGTTCAAAAATGTTAGCTAGCCTGTTGTAGCAAGCTTATAGAACGTGGAGCAGTAGTTAGGTATTTGTTGTTGTTTTTGTTTCTTTTACACACATTTTTCTTTCCATTTCATCTTTGTACACTTTTCCTTCTTTTAAAAAAATTCTTATTGATCTTTAATTTATTATTATTATTATATATTCCTGTAGCTTTCATTTACATGTTTTTGGATTAAAGAATAAGTAAGGACTTAGTTTGGAAGGGAGAAAATAAGGCTGTACTTGTTGGCTTAAAATATATCCTCAACAAATTATTTCAGATTCAGAGAAAGACATAGGCAACCGAGTTTCCTATGGCAAGACCTGGGGTCTGGGTCCTGTATTTGATTGTGATAAAAAGCATGGGTTTGGTTTTACTATCTTGGGTAAATTATTTAATCTGCTTTTGTTGCCTTGATGATAAAATGGACAAATAATTACATTTTCCTCATAGGATAACTGTGAAAATTAAATGAGATAATACACTTGGTAAATGTTAGCCATTACTATTAGTAATGTTTTCCCCCTCCAGAACCAATTTTCAGGCTTATTCCAGATATTCCACTACTGGTTTCTATGAAGAAGGGTCTGCTGAGGGTTTTTCAATGGAGACCTAGATATCCTAAGTGACTTGAAGCTTTTCTAAAAGCAAGGCAATGTTGCCACACACGGAACCACAATGCGTGGGCCACAGCTTTGCAAGCGGCAAAGCAATTCTCACTTGGTAGCCGATATCTTCTCATTGCTGATGGTGCAGCCTGGAGTTGTATGCAAAGAAAATCTGAAGGCAGTAGAAAGATAGCTACACATTTCAGTGGCAAAGTGTCAAGATTTCACCTTCCATTGGTCATTGAACCCCTTTTTACCAGACTCCTGTTAAGTACCAGGCTCTGTGCTGGACTCTGAGGATGCAATGGGGAGCAAGACAGACATATCCCAGTTCCCTTCGATCTTAAGGTCTAACAGTGGAATGCAGGCAAGTGTATCCACAGTTACAACACTGCATAGTAAGTGGTATGAGGGAGGAAGCCCAGGGAGCTATGGGAACACAGACAACTCATCCTAAACTAACCCAGACATGGAGGGATCTTGAAGAAAGTGACATCTAAGGGGATACCAGAAGAATGGACAGAGGTTTGAGAGGTAAACTGGGAGAAAGTGTGGAAGGCGGGGGAAAGGAGAACAGTGTGCCAAGCAAGAAGCCCAGTGTGTACAAAGGCCAAACACAAGAAAGAACACAGCAAATTTGGGGAACTAAATTCTCTGCTTCTAGCAGAAACATAGCAAGCTTGTCCACATGGAAGACCCCTGGAGTGATAGATAACAGACCGTATCTCTTGTAGGCCATGGGAGGGAACGTGGGCTTCATTCTGAGGGCAGAGGGGAGCTAGTGAAGATGAGTTAAGCCCGGGAGAGGTGTGTCCTTTCTTTTAACTCATGTGATCATCCACATTAGGATGGACGCTAGAGTGCATTCAATCTACTTTGTTTTATAGATGGGGAAACAGGGCGAAGCTACTTGCCTATGATCATTCTTCTGTTAGTCAAAACTAGGATTAATAGGCAAGTCTCTGGCCTTCCAATACAGAGGCTTCAAAAGACCATGCTGCCCTCCCTCATAAGCAAATGGAATTCAGGGGTCAGGGAATTCTTTTTGCCTAAGATCTAGCCAAACATGTATGTAACAGCTTTTTTTGTTTTTAAGCAACTTGTTCCTGAAAGGTGAAGAGACAGAGAAGGAACAACAGGGTGAAACAGATCTTTCAGAAAACTATAACATTCAAAACAATATGCCCTTTAGAATGAAAGTCTGATTTATTGTGATTCTCACTGGCAAGTATTTGTAACCACTGACACTTGAAATCCCAAGGATCATGGTGGAAAATGAAAAATCTTTTTAAAAAGAAACCTCAGTTTCGTTTTTAAACCTATCCTCTACAAACACCCCCACAGCTTTTCACATGGGATCAGGAATAGAAACGTGTGTGTCTATATATATATATCTACACATATATATTATATATATATGTAATATATAATATATGTGTGTGTCATTTTTTCTGAAATAGCAACTTGAATTGGAATAAGCAGCTTAATATCAAACCACAAAGAATCATGGATTCTGAGCACTTGGGAAATGATGTGAGATCAGTGAAGACCAAGCTTTCTACAAGTCCCTTGCTGAGACTGAAATAATTTGGCTCCTCTATAAACAGCCCTCAATAGGAGCCGCTGAATGATTAAGGACAGATTTGTGGACCCTGGGGAACCATTTTAGAAGTTTTCCTCATAACAGGCCTTTATCCCCTGTATCTATATACACCTCACAATGTCTCCAACACCTTCATAGTATTTAGCCTGTGAAGTGCAAAGGGCCACTATCATTACCTATGTTACAGACACGGTAGCCTATCCAGAGCAGAGTGGGGAAGTGACTAACTCAGGTGTCTTAAGGTTAGGATCTGGTTCAGCCTAACTTCAACCTGGTCTGAAGGCCCACCGGGCTGCTCTTCAATGAGAATCCTTTCTTGGAAGAGCCCTAAATGGCAGATAAGCCTTGAAGAGGAAAGTGCCTGTCCTCTCAGTTTCTTCCCAGGCCTGGACTTTGCCAGAAAATGTCTCTTGTCACCTTTTCCCCTTTTAGGCAACTCTTCTAATGAGGTTGAGGCAGGCCCCTGCTAAACAGATGGCAGTTTCAGGGATTCTGCTTAAGGGAACTGAAAGGGATTGGGAGAAATTAATCTTGAGCAAAGAAGCAGCATTAGGGGCCAGGCTCAATTAGTGGAAGACCCCTACCCCAGCCCCCAGCTGTATCTTCCATCACTTCATCCCGCTCACAGACCTTCCCTCAGCTTAACTGGGCATTTGCTAGGTTAACTTAAGTCCGTTTCTCCTGGTAAATTAAAGGCTCCAAGAGGGCAGCGACTGTCTTTGTACCAGTGCATGCCCAGGTCCTGCCACGGTGCTTGGAACAAAATAGGTGACCGATAAAGATTAGGTAGCTAAACGAGCACTTGGAAATCATGTGGACGATGAGGCCAGAATAGGGCCCGAAGCTTCCGCCCTCCGGCGGCGGCAGGTGCGGTTCCCCGGAGCTGGAGGCCTTGGGGACGGTGCCCTCTCCTTTCCCACGTCCAGGGCAGGGCGGCGGTCTGTCCTGGGGCGGGAGGCCCGGGTCCTGAGCGCCCCCAGAGCGGGAGGTGCGGGTCGTGGGTGCGCCGGCTCCTAGGGGCCGCCCCGGGAGCCCCTCGCCGCAGCCATTTCCTGCTCTTTGTGTGACAGCCGCGGCGGCGGAGGGGCGGGGCGCCGGGGCGGGGGCGGAGCCGTGGCGGCGGGGGCGGGCTGGGGGCGGGGCCGAGCGCGGCCGGCAGAGCGGAGCGGCGGAGCATCG